TGTCTTGTTCAGTCTCGCTTGGCGTATCTGACGCCGCTTCTTGACTTGGGCTATAATCCTTCAACTCATCTTCTTGCTCTTGGCTTCTTTCCTTTCTTGGAACAATCTCCGGCTTGTCACCAATTGCCATCTCGATTCCACTGTGCGGTGGCAATCTCTTCGTTGATTTCCTTCCTAACAACATGTCCTGTGTGTAGTTCCACGGTGTTCCTGTTGCTTCTGCTAGCACTTCAACATCATACAGTGGCGTACACTGTCTTATTGTTCTGCTCTTAATGATTCCTTGTCTTGTGCTTATCAGATTCAGGTTGTTCACCGAGTCTTTTCCAACGAAGATTCCTTTTCTCCATGCTTCACCCTTTTCTTTGACTTTTGGTACTGGCTTTGCCAACACTACGCTTCCCCATGGTGCTAATGTTCCTTTGTACTCTCTGTCGAATAGCACTTCAAAAGGTGTTGATCCCTTTCTTCACAACAAACCTATTCAGTAGGAATGCTGCATGTCTTGCTGCCCATGGATACAGCGTACTTTCTGAAGTAATCTTCACTTTCGCTTGCGATTCAACTCCATACACCAATGTCTTGGATAAGTTCCGAACCGTTTGAACCCATCTTTCAACTTGCAATCCTTGGTGTTCATCTGGTGCTACATCTTGTATCTCTGTATCAAGATTCTTCATCTTCCTTATTCCTTGCGCCTTCTTCCTCAGCGAAATCATTGCTGGTTCCGTGTCGATTCTCAAAATGACTTTAGAATTCAACAGCATAAGCACTCTGCAGACTTCTTCAACAACGTTTGCTGTCGCTTCTTTTGTCGCTACTGGAATGACATGTACGAACTTTGTTGCTTCATCAACCATCACCAGTCCGATTGTCAATGCATCTTTATTGTCTTTCGTGCTCTCTTCATCTCGGTTCCCAGTGAACTTGAAACCCATTGAAACTAGCGATGCTTCACTCTTCTTCTCTGACACATCGAAATTATCTTCTCTTGACCTTGTTGCTTGACAACTTTCACACCAATCAGCTTTTGGTAGGTGCGTCAATTCGTGCTTCTTTCTCTCTTCGTCAATTGGCATCTCTGGTCTCTTTTCTCCTTTTGGTTCTCTTGTGAACTCTAGTTCCAGTCCTTTGGAGATTTCAACCAACTCCTTCATCTTGTTTGCCGATACGGCTTGTTTCAACCGTTGCCCTATTTGAGCCTTACTTCCAGTCTTTCCTATCTTCAGGAATTCACATGCTGTTCTCAGTTGCTTGAGCGTACTCTCTGGGTTGAGTTCGACTCCTGCCACAATCATCGCTTCTTCCATCTTTTCTCCTAAACTTGGCAGTTGCTCTTCAATTTTCTTCCACTCTTTCATGTCTTCTTCTGCAGGCGGGTCGCTAGGAAACAAGTTCTCCATAGCTTCTGCTGCTTCCTTCTCGACTAGTTCCACTGTCTTCTTTGGTTCACCTTTTCCTTCGTGAACCGCCATCTCCACGTCTGCTGCTTCCACTTCCTTTTCTTGCTCCTTCTTTTTCTTCTTCGGGACTGTTCTTTCATACTCACCATACTCTTCAAGCCCTAGAGACTTTCTCTCCAAGATCGTGATGATCACCGAGTTCTCTTCAACTGCATCCCACTTTTCAGCGCACTCCACAAACTCCAGTTCGCTCCATACGATGTTCTCACCATCGTACCTCGATACCAAAGTAGTTCTGAACTTGAACGCTTTCACGTCGTCATTTGTGGGATCATATGTTGTGTACTTGTCATAATCGATCCTTGCTGGCTTCCCATCTGACATGAAAAACCATCCTTCATGATACTTCATCTTCTCGAATTCATCTTCCATCTGCTTAATCAATGTGAGCTTTCTCACTTGTGGTTCATCACTTTCAACCTTCACTTGAGCTCTGTAAATCTTGAGGTCCGTCACTGTTGAGTTTCTTGCAAACCTCACTGGCACTCTTGCTGATCCTTTCTTCAAGTAAGCATTGAACTGATCTAGGGGATCAAGTCCCCATCCGACTTTCCACAACTTGCCTACTGCAAATAGTGGTTGTGTTACATCTCCGAACACAGCTGAATCTCTCACCTTTATCACTCTTCCATCTGTCCTTTGAAATTCGAATGTGATGTTCGCTCTTGTCTCAGTGGTTCTTATCCTGTTGCCTTGGGCATCTTGAATAACCATTCTCAAAGCTGGGAACTCAACTGTTCCTAAGTCTTCACTGTAGTAGCATAGCGGAAGTACATGACAATCCACGCCACAATCTAGCACGACTTCAACGAGTTCTGAGTAGCTTGAGCTAACGGCTCTTACTCGATGCACTTCTGGCTCTTCATCTTGAACACTTCCGAAAAGCCTTTCTCGCTCTCTTGCACTATTGGCATTCTTCTTGTCCACTTGCAGATCTCCATACCACTTGTGAAGTTCATCTCTTTCATAATCTTCTTCATCACTTTCGTCAGCCATGCTTGACCATAGCACAACTGTGTTGACTCTTACTGCTCGTGCAGCATAATCCATCACCATCTCTTCGAACATTCCTACAAGATCAATGTAGTCATCATCTTCTTCGAACACTTCTTCAATCACTGGCATAGGCGTTGTCACCAACCTACGCACTTGCTCGTTTCCTTTGGCTCCTTGTGGTGGCCTTGCTTGTGCTTGTGTAGAAGAACTAGGTTGCTCTTCATACCATTCTTCCTCACCTGTCTCTTGGACATTCCGAACTTTTCCTTTTCCTCCTTTTCCTTTCCCTTTGGTGCCGACCAACACTCCGAAGAGTAATGTCCGGTCTTACCACAATTGAAACATACGGGTCCATTCTGTCCACCTTTGCCTTTTCCTTTGTCACTCTCGTAGCCTTTTCCTTCGGCCTGCCTTATACTCTTGCCACCTTTCTTTCCAAATCCTTTTCCTTTTCCAAAACCTCTTCCTTTTCCTTTCTTCTGGAGCGGTCTGCGCGCGGCCCGTAGGCCTTGGTCCGGCGTGCAATTAATTACCACGGGTTTTCCGTGGTCTTCCACCCCGTTTGGAGTGGGCATCGCCCTCAGGCGGAAAAAGGAGCTACGCCCTACGGGAGAGCGAGCTCTTCCCGGATGTGCTAAGGAGTGCAAGCACGTCCTGGGGAGTGTAACACGTCCCCGCCCTGAACTACGGCTCTACGGCAAAACTGACAGGGCTGCACATCGAGGAGTGCGAACACGTCCTCTTGCAGGGGTCAGGAGTGTGAACACGTCCTGAGAGGGAGATTGCCTCCTCATACCTCAGCCCTCCTTTTTGAAAGAGGCGAGGTATTCCGAGACTGCAATCACGTGGGATGCAGTCATGAGGTGCCCCTGCATGTGTTCCGGGGTGGGCACCTGGACACGGCATGCTATACACCAGAGCATGTCCGTGGTCACCACTGGAGGCGCGCTGTCCTGCCTCAGTGTGACCCCTTCGGCCGTGCTGGCGTACAGCTTGGCTGTGCTGGCCGGCACCCTTACGCAAAGGGGTTCATGGAGCGGCAGGGGTTCCGACTCCTTCGTGAGCCGGAGTGTTCCTAAGTTGAACCCGGTGCGCATATGCAGCCTTTCCAATTTCCAAGACATCCGCTGCCGTCGAATGTCCTGGCACAGGAAGGCGAATGACCTGCAGATGGCTGCCGGAGCGGCATTCCGTATCGATACGCCAGATCCATTCCGCAGGAGGGAACGGATTGGGTGGCGGGTCCACACCACCTGCTGGGCTGGCAGCCTCCCTCCGCGGAGGGGTATCGGCAGCTGGTGCCGATGGCTCATCGTGTGAGCTGCCGCGGCTGAGCCTGTGGCCTCGTGAGCTGGGCCCTCGGATGGCCGCTCAGCTGGAGGCTCTCGTGGCGGTGTGCCCTCCCTCCGTGGAGGGGTTGTTGCGAGGGGAGGTTCGCCCTCAGCCGCGCAGGCTGAGGTGGCTCCGCCAGGGATGTCGGAGCATCCTCGTCGCCCGTGGCCGCCTGTTGCATCAGCTCGTCCCCGTCCAAGAGCCCTGCCTCCATGGTGACCGGTGCGGGCTCCACCGGAGCCGAGACTGGAGCCTCGGCGACAGGGGTGTGCTTGGGACCAGGCTTGGTCTTGCTCGCTGTGGTTTTGCGAGCTGTGCGGCGCTCCCAAGGCGTCACCGCTGCCGCTGGCACTTCTTCCTCCGGCTCCGTACCTTCGGAGCTCTTCGAGGAGAGTGTCTCATCCTCCTCCTCCTCTTCCTTGGCCTTTGTGTCCTTGCCCTCGGTTGTGCCCTCTCCCCTTTGCCCCGGTGGCGGAATGGGCACTTCTTGGGGATGGGTCTTGTGGCTCCTGCGGGGAGCCCTGGGCCGGCTTGGCCCGTCTCCCTCCGACGCTGTGGAGGGGGGTGGGGGAACTCTCCCACTAGCGGCTGAGGAGGCCACGGCCGCGGACGGCTTGGGGGCTGCCGCCTCCTGCAGTTCGGGTTCGCGGCCTTTCGTGACCTGATAAAGGCCTGATACTGAGCTTCCTGCTCCCTGCTGAGGGCTATCGGGGACACCCACTGTCCTGGGGGGTGACAGACGCGCGCGATCGCGTATGCTTCGGCCTGGGGCACCGTGGTGCCCGGCGGCAGGGTGCCGCACGCGGTCCCGACCTGTTTGAGCTTTAAATAAGGCGACGCCTCTTTAAGAATTATAGGATAAGCGTTAAAGCTTTATTTAGAGCTGATATAATCAGCTTTAATTAAGGCTGACAGTTTTCCATAAAACCGCTTATTATCTCTCTATATATATCGATGTATATATCTTTATATTAAATTTGTTTTTTTCAGGGAGGCAAATGCATGTCTCTCCTGCATGCATGATCTGGATCGCGGCGACATTCGGCATGCATGCATGCTGCAGGCAGTGCAGTTGCAAGATCGAAGGATTACTGGCATGATATATTGCAGGATCTGCGATTTTTTTGCTCGAGTGTTTGAAGTCTGTTTTTTGTAAGCAGCATGGCAATGTCGAGTCGGAGGTCCAATGGTGCCACCGGGAGAGATCTCATGAAGACTTTCAGAGGAAATCTCCAAGCTGTGGAAGCTGGAGATGCCCTCTTGTCTTTGGATGCTTTTTGCAAGAAGCATCATGTGCTCATGAAGGAGATTTTGGGCATCACTACTCGGCCGACTGCAGCTGTCATGCGTGAATCAATGAGCTTGGTGTGGCCAGGGGCACCAAGCTTGGAGCTGAAGACGTTTGCGAATCATCTTCACGAAGTTTACAAGACTCTCTTCACGAAGACTCGCAACATGTCCACAGGAGGAAGGCTGGCCGACAGCATTCAGGACATGTGCTTCTTCATCAAGGACTTGCTCGGTTTACCGGAGAGTAAGCAGGGGTCCAAGAGGGCAAGCTCAGGCTCTGCCCGGTCGCCCAAAGCCTCTCCGAAGAAGCAGACCAAGCAAAGGCTGGACTCGACATGCCAAAAGGCATCGACAAGGAAACTTGAGGTTCACGTCTCTGTGTCCTCTTCGGATGCAGGTGCAACAGTTAAGAAGGAGCCGGCAGAAGCTGCAGAACCTGCATCAAGCCATACGAGAGATGGGCCAAGGCCTCTGCCTACAGGCCAAATCAGCAAGCTATACCAGCAGGCTGCATCGGCCGCCAGCTTTTTCCACACAGATTTGTCAGTACCAACGGTGCTGCGAATTGCAGGTGACAGCCGAGAGGCTGCCAAGATGCACAAGGGGCCTTCTGGTTTTGCTGTGGCAGTGTGGTCCGATGGGCATCAGATCGTGAGCGAGATCCCGAACCTTCTGCTGGACAAAGCAGCTGCAGCCAAAGCATCTCCTAAAGGAAAAGCAAAAGCAGCTAGCAAAAAGAAGCCAGCTGCAGTCATCAAGAAGCCAGCCTGCCTTCCGCAGGAAGATGGAGAATCTCCAGCTGCAGGTGCAAATGATGCTGCAGCAGCCCAAGATCTCGAAGCCCCTGCCGAAGCCGCTCTGGTTCCAGTCGATGCTCCAGCTGCAGATGATGATCAGGATCCGAACTATGGGGATGTGGCGGTTCTCCCTGCAAATGCGGTTCTTCGGAAGGAGTATCGTGCAGCAAACATGACCATGGCCTTTCGCATGATTTGGCGAAACGAAAAGAACAAAGAGTGCAAGAGGCAGATGTTCCAGCTGAAAGGCGGCTCCGCCACCACGAAGGAGCAAATGCATGCAACAGGAGAGGAAGCCCTACGAAAAGCTCGAGCTGGAGAGCGTTTGGCCCAGGTCAGGAGCTGGGCAGAAGAGCAACTGAGCAGCATGCAGCCACAGCTGGGTAAGCTGCAATCGAGACTCGACGATCGATGACGATTTCGCTTTCGAGCAGAAATTTTGTGAGTGCCTGCATTTTGGATCCATGCTTTTGCAACATGAAATTTGGTATGTGCAGCATGCAACTTGAAGACTCTGTGTTTTTGTATAGCTGTAGCTGGCTCAAAGCATGGATGTCCACGTCTCTAGGTTAACATGGCTTGTGAGGTGTTTTCTATATATTATATTCTATAAATACGTAAATTAACAAATCTAGATATTTTGGCGCTTTGAGGGTTTAAGGGTCTATAGGATTAGAATCCTGTTGCCTGCCGGGCCCTCAGTTCGGTTGCGAGCCTGCCTGCCATAGCTTTGAGAGTTCCAAGCAGTGCTTTTTGTTTTCGGGAGGTTCGCAGCCTCGCGGGGTAGGTTTGAAGCCCCTTGCCCCCTGTGCCCAGGTCGAGACCATGGTGCTCGTGCCGCTCTACTGCGAGGACAAGGACTGATCTGCAGATTCTTCATGTTCGTTTTTGTTTGCAAGGGCAGCAGATTTGTGGAAGTTCTTGCCTCCAACCTTAGAATTTTGAGCTCGAGGGCTCTGGAGTGCTTGTAGCTGTGTTTTTGGATTTGGGCCGCCATGGCGGCGGTGCAGCTGTGGATTTGGAGGAGGAGGAGGAATCCGAGGAGTCGGAGGTCCGGGTGGAAGACCCGGCAGTGCCCGTGCCGGCCGAGGCTCGGCCGGGGCCGGATTTGAGAATGTGTCGTAAGTGCAAAACGGTGGCATATCTGAGAAAAGGAGGATGCAGCAATCCCTCATGCACCTTGGTTTTTTTTCAGTAAGATTTAAACTTAAGTGTGTTAATTTTCCGATTTTATTCGGGAGTCGTTTTGGACTCCCGTATTTTTTATCAGGGTTTATGCAGCTCCGCCCTGCAGGCCCCCTGTACTATGTCCACCAGAAGGACTGGAAGTATCATGCGAAGGGGAAGCAGCGGGAGAAGAGCTGGATGGAGGATTCTGAGGGCTTCGAGAAGATGCTCTCCAACATGAGGTCTACAATAAAGCGGCCGAGGAGAACAAGGCCAAGGAAGCCCAGGAGGCCCAGGAGGCCAAGGAGGCCAAGGAGGCCAAGGAGGCCAAGGATCCCAGCAAGAAGACCAAGAAGAAGAAGAATAAGGGGATCAACCGTCGGCTGCGAGGAGTCCAACGGGGCTTCACGAAGGGATCGGGTACCATCCGTGCAGAATCTCAGCTTCAATAGTTTTTTTCTGGAGTTCTATTTTGGGACTCCATGTATATATACAGCTAAGGAGAAGCCCTCGGAGCCGAAGCCGCCCAAGGTGCCATCGGAGCCGAAGCCGCCCATCCAGCCGAAGCCGCTGAAGCCGCCTATCAGCAAGGGCATCCCGAGGGCCTTTCAGGACAAGACGCCCATCAAGGCCGAGAGCTTGGGGAAGGCTTTGATCCCCAGGTATCCGACAGTGTTTCAGCCACCGGTGCCGGCAATCAACATCAATTTCTTTGGGAGCTCAGGTGCCTCCGGATCCTCAGGCAGGGATATATATTATGATAAGTTGTAATATTTTTTTATTATAGATTTTTCGCTGGAGTTTTTTTGGAACTCCAGTTTTTTTTGTTTTCCCCTGCAGATGTCATCGCCGGGTTGCTTGCGGCCATTGGAGCCGGGATGGCGCGGCAGGCGCCGATGCCGCCGCCGGCGGCGGGCCCAGGGCCAATTATCGAGGAGGTTAAGCCGGATGAGGAGGACGAGCCCGGCATGGATGTGGACGATGAGGAGGAGGATGGCAAGGGCGATTCGGAGGAGGGCAAGAATAAGAGAAAGAGGGATGAGGAGTGATGTGTTTCACCCCCTGTGCATCTTCCAGGGCGATGATGATCAGAGCGATCGTGCAGAAAAGAAACTGTTAGTGTTGGAGCCGTTTTCAGTGGCATGTGGTGCTGTTGTTTTCAGGGTTTCATCATCCGTGCTTTTTGGCAGGAGTTCCTTGGAACTCCTGAACAATGGTCTTGGCCTCAGAGTGCATGGTGTGCAGTCTGTAGCATGCAGTGCAGTTTTTTGTTTGTTGTGTTTGCAGCTTCTTTGTATTGCAGGTTGGCTGGGCATCCCCATCATGGGTGTCGAGGCACCGGCGGATTAGGGTTTAAGGGTTAAAGGCAATATAAGGGTTTAGGGTTTAAGGGTGAAGGGCTTAAGGTTTCAAGGGTTTAGGGTTTAAGGGTTGAGGGGTTTGGGGGTTCAAGGGTTTAGGGTTTAAGGCTTTCAGGGTTTAGGGTCTAAGGATTTAAAGGTTCAGGGGTTTAGGGGTTCAGGGTTTAAGGGTTTAGGGTTAGAGGTTTTTAGGGTTTAGGGTTTAAGGGTTACAGGTTGAGGGGTTAAGGGTTTAGGGTTAGAGGTTTTTGGGGTTTAGGGTTTCAGGGTTTACAGGTTGAGGGGTTAAGGGTTTAGGGTTTGGCTGTTTTTAGGGTTTAGGGTTCCAGTGTTTAAAGGTTAGGTTTAGGGTTTGAGGGCCCGGGTTCAGGGGTGTAGGGGTTGAAGCTTTTAGGGTTTAGGGTTTTTGGTTTTCGGTTTTACCAAGTTTAGGGTTTAAGGCATAAGGGTTGAGGTTTAGGGTTTGGGTTCAAGGTTGAAGCTTTAATGTTTACAATCAGTGTTGTAGAATTATTATAATGTTGCAAGGGTTGAAAAAGGGTTGAAATTTCAACCGGTTGAAAAATGGCTTGTGCTTTTGATTAAGTGGTGGGGTGGCTTTTTCAACCGGTTGAATTTCAACCGGTTGAAAACGTAGTGCTGTATATATAAAACACTATAAGCTGTGTACCAAATTATTAAACTTTTTAACTGGAGGCCACAGCCTCCAGGAAACCTACAATACAAAGATCTTGCTGCTGTGCGGCTACGGTCTGGGTTGTTTCAGGACAATCTTCCAGGGTCTATATGTTCGGTGGCACAGGTTCTAGGTGTTCCAAAGGCTCATGGATAAAGGTTGTGCAAGGTGGGGGTTGCTCCAGTTGTATAGTGGTTTAGGTGAATTGGTGGTGTACATGCTGAGGATTCAAAGGTGTGGGTTTCAGGGATCGCCCAGTATGTTCAGAAGGCTTCTGGCCCTAGCAGGTTTTGGGCTCCAGTTTAATTTTATGTGGGGGCATCATTACATCATCATATCACAGTAACATGTGAATGTTACTGTGATATAATGATGTAATGGTGTAACAAGCATGTATAGTGTGATGTACATGAACTTATCGTCATCTATAAGTATAATATCGATCGTCATTTAATATAGTATATACTCATATATAAAATATATGATATATATATATGTACTAAAACCTTAAAAAGGATTAGTATCATAATCTTATATATATATATATGTATATATTAATGGACATATATGTATATATATATATATACACATACATCTAGACATATATACATAAACACCCTTACCTTGTAGAACCTCTATACTTTGGATCTATGTTAACCCTTACAGAAGCCCAAACCCTCTAATCCCTGAAGCTTGAAACCCTAAAGCAAAACCCTCAAGTGTCTTGCTGCATGTGCTGCAGATACCATGTGTCCGGGCCACAGGTGCAACAGTGATATGCTGCATCGTTTTGTCACAGCATGATAAACAAATGCATCAAAACACACTTTCGATTTTGTGGCTCCAGATCAAAAATAATTTAAATAACTGGAGCCTTTTGTACAGTTGCCCTTTTGGCATCATGGCCCCAAAGAATAAGGCCAAGGCTGCTCCGAAGACGGAGCCGAAAACTAAGAGGGCCAAGTCCGGTGCCTTGGTGATTGGAGATGATCCCACACCGGTGGAGATGAAAGCCAGCATTCAGAGGATGCTGAATCTTGTGAAGTACAAAGCCGACCCCGTGAGAAACAAGAGTGGGGAGTGCCAGAGCGAAGCCCAGCAAGTGCTGGAGGCCGGGTTGCAATTCTCCATTTGCTATGCATTACATTTTTTTGTGGGTATTGCATGTGCCAGGCCTACCGGCAGATCGCCGACTCGGACCGAAAGGGATTCATCGCTGCCTACCAGAAGAATGGCCTTAAGGACTTGAAGTGGGTGGGCCAGTACACCAAGAAGGTTGTGAAGGAGGAAGCCGAGGAGGATGTCTCTATCAAGGGCATGATGACAGCGACTCTTGGATTTTATTTTATATAGGTTGCTTGGTCATTTTGTTTTTAATGTTTAGTTTTGCAATGCCGCTGAGGTCGCGAATTTTTGACCTGAATGGCCTCAAGATCAGCGACTTCCCAGAGAAGAGGCAGAAGGAGTTGCTGGAGGGTTTGCTCCAGGAATCCGAGGATTTCTGGGGGCACGAGAGGAACCTGGTGAAGCACAAGATGCCCGAGCTCTGCCGGTACTTTTACCGGACCTTGGTGGAAAGCAAAGATGCAACCCGATCGACCGAGTCAGGCACCTTCGAAATGAGTGCTAGCCTAGCAGCGAAGGAGATGAAAAGCCTGCACCAAGGGTGAGGTGAAGTTGGAGCACCCCGAGCGGACCGAGCTGAGCAACTTGAGCAAAGTGGCCAACAGTGCAGTCAAGAGCCTGGATGCCAAGCATGGAGAGTTGAGCTCGGAATGCATTGCTCTCGAGAATTGCCCCAAGCTCGCTAGCAAAGCGCCGGAGGTCCGGGTTACCCTGGATGCTCTGAAGAAGTTTGTGGAGGATCTTCGAAAGATCCAGGTCCTGCTGGATCGCAAGCTTCCCACGATGGACGAGGCGGCCTGCAAGAACGAGAAAGCCGACATGGAGCAGTGGAATCGCAATGCCAATGAGCATCTTGACAATGTGAAGTTGCTGCTGAAGAAGGTTAAGGGCTGGCAGGCCTAGGATCCATCGAGCATGGATCTGGATATCATGCAAGCAGCATTTTGCTGCAGTTTTCCGAAAGCAGCTTTGAGGCGATCCACGGCAGGCGAACTTAAAAAAAACAGTGCTTTGCAGCCGCGAATAGCATCTTGCGGCTGCCGGCTCAACTTCAGGCTCCGCACCGATCTCCATGGGCCCACTTATGGGGCAGACGCTCCCCCCCTACGGCCGAGAGGGTTTCAAAATAAAAGGTATTGTTGGAAAGTTGTAAGTCCTGACAAAATGTAGGACATGTGATCTGAACGTGACATGAAAGCTTTTTTCGAATCCGCCAGCAAGCACAACTGGTTAGCTGAGCCAAAATGTTTCGCACACATAAACTAGAAAACATATGTGAATAAATACACACAACAAACCAATAAGGGCAAGAGGCAATCATGAGGTATCGAGAATGCCGAAAGCAGAATGATTGGATAAACAGGTCCAACTCAACCAGACGATCCGCATGGTGCGAATCACCATGCTCATGTAATGAGATCAGAATGACTGAGATGTCACAGCTCACTCGAGACAATACGACACTGAATCCAGCGTTGCTCTTCCGACTGTGCAACATGGACAATGCCGAAATGACATCGCATACGGCAATGTCAATCAGATCGGAAAACCTTGGCGCCAGTGAGGTTCCAAACCTGTCGTCACAATCTCTGTGGCTGCAGCCGAATGTGTGCCATGACAATGCATCATCTTCTGTTTGACTGAGGCAATTCACGTGGCGAGTGAGAATCGAACTCGCGAGCACTGATCCTAAGGTCATGCCAATCTCTTTCCTTAGAGGTCCGAAGACAATGTCAAGACAAAGTGCAATGCATGCAGCTTGGCTGGCTGTCTTTTCAATCATCTGTTGGGAAATCTCTCTGCACTCGTACATTCTCTCAATTAATCCTGTGTTCACTCGCAAGTGCAGTGCATCACCAATGAGTGATGATGCTGCAAGAACGACAATCCTGTAAGATCGGGCAATCTCAACAAAACTACCACAATCATCGAAATAGCAACACTGACAATCCTTCTGGTACAATAAACAGTGAGCAACAGCAATCTGTTGACGAATGCAACGTTGAAACTCATGAAGCCGAACTAAATACTCAATCCTCGAGCAGCGGACAAGCTGATCCAGCAATCCTGACGCGAAGCAATGCTCTCCATCTATCAGGGGATGGAATCGTGACACGCCATGAATGCTCAAATGTTCGTGCGCGAGAATGTCACAACGCGCAATGATCAATCCGCCAACAAGACAAGCAATGTGCCTCCGGGGAATGGTCAATCCATCGACATGAATGTCAATGCGTTCATGAGGCGCGCAGTCTCCAATGTCAGAACAGGTAGAACCTTTCAGAAGACAATGACGCGCCAAGCAGCGCTCACAGATCTGACCAAACGGTGTCAATTGATGAGACAATAGCCATGAATCACCGATACAATCTCGAAAGTGCCAAACATAGCGATAACGATCGGCAAATGCAATTGCAGTCAACGAAGTGCAACCATGGAATCTCATGCCGCAATATCCTTGATCAATAACGCGTCGATAAAACGCAGTCTGTTCTGAATCAGGCCAATGATCCGAGTGACAGGCAATACATCTTGCAATGCATGCATGTCGGAACAGTCGACATCGAACAGCCGCAATCGAACACTGACACGAGCAAAATGCTCCAAGGAACGCGCGAAAGAATCATGAAAGCGAACGTCAGTCCAATCCTTGCAATCTCAGTCCCTCAACTTGAGATGGCGACGCATGTGCACAATGTGAGGTAGCGCGCTCCTTGCGCATGCCCGTCTCTTAGTAGTTCTTGAACAATGACCACGGCGACGAAAACACATTGCAACGCACGTGCTCAATGCAAGCTCGTCCTCTTTGTGTGCGTACTTGCAGTCGCTCTTGCGACACCACTGGGGCATGTACCGGGGGATGTACAACACAATCTATTAGGACTCG